CGGTAAATTATATACTTTTTGTTATTAAATTGATATTTAGAAAATTTTATGAACACCTATATACAACACAAAACAATTGATCGAAATTGATCAAATTAACATAGGCACACCCAGAGTATATAATATATATGTCTCTGGCGCATCCCACCCTTTTCTTTACAATATGTAGATATACGATTGAAATTGACAAAAAAATGCACCGGTACAATAATAAATACTCAAAATGAGCAGCAACCCGTGTTTTTTTCACTACAAGTCTTAAAACTTGAAGCGTTTTCATTCTGTATGCAATCCAAGGAATTAAGCACACACCACTTCTAAGAATATTGCAGAGGGAGAACCTGTCCGTTCAAGTCTCACAAAGATTAGTAATTTATCATGAACCACCTGATCAGCTGACTTTCATCTGTCGAGTGATGCAGTTGTACTAATTGTGGTTTGCATATAATGTGACTCTGTGACAGCACTTACGCATTTCATTTATTCATTTATTTATTCTCTTCGTTAATTTGACTCATTTTTTCCACGTTATCTCACCCGAGGACCTTGTTGTTAAATTGAAAATTGGAAGACACATACTCTACACCAATCTACATACTAACTGCAGGACCCCCTGTGCCCATCTGCTGACATCCCTTTGATGTCATACCTGTACACAGGTATATATATGTATCTTGGGCCTCCTGCTGTCGGCACAGGTGTTTAGTGTTATTTATCTGTACACAAATTTCATACCCAAGTATGCTAAGGGAGTGGATCGAGATGATTTTCATTATTTAACCAAGATGTTAAATTAAAACTTGTGTATGCTACATGTATAGGGAGAGAAAAAACAAAATTAATCTCATAATTCAATGATGTTTTCGAGATAAATAAAATTCTGTAATTAGATTATAAAAGTCAGTGATCTGGTTTAGCATCGCAAACACAGATACTGTATTGTATCGATCAAATGTTTGAAATGTCGACTTAACATAAGGAAGACACAATATCGTGGATTTGTCATTAAACAGTGATACTAAAAATCTTGACATTTAAAAACAGCAGTCACCAACGTTGAAGTTTTTTTGTAAACATTTTCACTGATATATTTTCGTATTTTTGGACCGTAGAGGTACCACAGTATATAACTTTTTTCAATATTAATATTCCGGCACAGAAACTAGTCACGACGTAGTGCTGTTCAATGACGACATGATTGGATAAGTTCTCGCTGTAGAGCAGAAACATATAAAGTACATACGTCTCTGTGTAGAGTAAAGGAAATGATTGCAAACTGACTTTCCAGCTAAAATTAAGAAATATCTTTGATCGATAACATTGAGACTATTTCTGTTTAATTCCCCTCAAACTCGTTGATTTGGAAAAAATCTCATCAGTGCTCAGGATCGGGACATGCAATGCTACCAGTCTATGTTACCCTATTCAGAGTCGTCAGTCTGGTTTCAATTAAACTCACTGTCTGGAAATTCTTGCAAATTTTATATGGCTGGATACCAAATACATAATGTTAACTTCAGCATAATCTGATTCCTAAAAACTAAAAAAAGTATTAATTCGCAATCTGACCATGGCTGTTCTTGATAATCGCCTATTCCTTCGATGGTGACCGCTACAGGCGTTGAACTTGGACGTCACAGCCGATAGGGGCCAAATCACCACAAGTTAAGATTATGCCTATTAGGAGAAGAAGGACAGGTGAAAATCGTACAATTTTAAAACACGTCAATATCTCTGTATGACCGATTTTCATGCGGTTTTCGACATTTTTGTGTTTGGATCATATAGAATAATAATATGTTAATTTCTATTTTCGTTCAGGGTACACTTTAATAAGAGCCAATACAGATTGATTTTGATGGTTTTACGTCCGCAATTACGTACGGCCTTGCGGCCTTTCAGTAGACGACCTACCAATACAGGCGTGTGCTCTGGCTTTACGGTTGCGAAACATGGGGTTTCAATATTGCGGACAAAGTAGAAAAAGTGCATGTTGATTTTTTAAAAAGAATTCTGAATGTAAAAAACAGTACGCCATCTTTTATGGTATATTCGGAATTAGGACGTCTGCCTTTGCATATCATCAGGAAGTGTCGAATAATCAAATATTGGTTGAAACTAATTAAATGCGACAATTGTGTTCTTAAGTCAGTTTATGAAGATATAGATGAATGTAATCACAGAAACTGTAATTGGCGCTGTCAAGTTAGAAAATTATTATTGTCTTCTGGTTTTGGTAATGTCTGGTTAACTCATTATGTTGATAATGAAAGGGTATTTTTACATTGTTTCAAGCAGCGTTTGACAGATGTTTTTATTTAAACAAGGAATGAATTTGCTGAAAGATCATCCAAATGTTATTTGTATACATTCCTGATAGATAACGTTACGTTACAATTTTATCTAACAAAGTCTATTCCAGATGCGTATCTTAAACTTATTTCGAAATTACGACTTTCATCGCATCAGTTATATGTAGAAGAAGGTCGGTATCGTANTATCTGCAATCAAGTTGGTTAGAACGGTCTAGATTCCAACCTTAGGTTATTGTGTTTTTTATCACACTAACATTTGAGTACTTTTTTTATTTCCAGGTTAACACCTATTGTTTTGTCCATCCCCTGGTCACTACATCACTGTATACAAATTGTATGCCTGTTTTTTTGTTTTTAATAATTAACATACTCTTTGTTGAGCCCCGGTTATTAAGAAAATGTTGTCACCTCATCTGTTTTCCGATAGCCACAGTACACTTATGTAAGGTAATTTTATAAGAGCTGTCCATCTTCCGATAATTTATTTATCTTGTACTTTATAATAATTAAAGAATTATACTGTCCATTTACACATGCGATGTACAAGTTTATGCTTCATTCATGATGTTATAATTATTTGGTATTTCATATCACTGTTGTATCAATTATACGTTGCTATATATGCTTATGAGCCGTAAGGCTTCAAGTTGAATAAACAATACAATACTGAAATGGGGATGCCCAGGGGGCTTAACGGGAAGTACCGGTGAGGGATAGTGCACCCCGCTGAGCTAAGGCCACCCCTGTTCTGGTTTACATATCCAGCAAAAGGATTTTGATATAAGATGACTTCACACGTTAGGATTTACCACGGAATTAGATGCTATCTAAGTCCGTGGATTTACATTGTGATTTTGCTGAAATTATCATAAAATAGTTACAACTAGAAACATAAATTTATGATTTTTAAGTAGAATAAAATGTACTTAGAGATGTAAAAGAAATTAAAAAATATGAAAATTCAAATAGATAGTGTAAAGTGTGATTTGTTCTTTTGAAATTCAGAATGAATACTAAACTCATTCAACCTCTTGACACACGAATCAGTTGCTAATCGTATATCTGAAAGAAGTTACATATAGTTACCATACAAAAGGACGGTGTTATATACTGGACATGTTTGTGCCAGTTATAAGATATACACGATATATTTTATTTCCTTTCAAAATACCTATTTGTGGCAGATATAAGAAATGAAATTCTGAAAAATAAAACTATTATGTATGTTAAAAAAATATTTTAAAAGAAATGTTGCCTTCATTCGTCATATACTGACCGCCCAACCCCTCCCCTACACACTTTTCTCGTTCTCGTTTCCCCCACTTTTTAAAATAACATGGGGGGAATAATGTTGTTAGAAGGATTATAGTCTGTTTCTAAGTAGTATGGGCAGTATTTACCTGTGTTTTTACCTGTGTTTACCTGTGTTGTTACCTGTGGTTAACTCTTCTATCTAAGGTGGTTGTTTATCATATTTAATTAAATAACACATTTTATAAGTTTTTTTTCAGATTTGTAATGATAAATGTTAAAATTATTTAAATATTAATCATATATATAAATATATATCTTCAGAATTGTATATATCCATTTAGTAGTCCCTGTGCTGCTGATAAGATGATAAGATGAAATGTGTTATTTCATTTTCTAGTACTTTAAAAATATTAATATAACTATTTATTGAATAATCTTTATTATTGTAACATTTAATAAGATTCCCACATTACCTTGTACAAAATGTAAGAATGTAATGTGTGACTAAGAGTGTGGTGTTTAACAGCTAATTAATCAGTTAATTAATCAAAATTCCTAGATGTTATAAGTATCTTATCACTATCATAAAAATCATTGAACATCTATAATTATCCAAGCTATCATTTCCATCCATATGAGCTAAAAGTGATCATGGCCTATGCTAATTCAATTCAATTCAATTTATTACCAAATGCACATTGCATATAGGTGTACAGAAATATACATAGAGATATATACTTTACAAATATCTTGTACAATGGCCGAGAACATATGCAATAGATTCAATTCCATACATAATATTTATAAATTATGAAATTGTCATCAGTTTGGGAAAACTTTAAGGTTTTCCTAAGGTAACTTAGCGGACTCTTATGAAGCATAATTTAGTTGCATAATTTAGTTGTTTATGAAATAATACAAATAAAGCCTTAATCTAACCAAATTTCTAGGAAATAACAAAACTTCAAAGTCAATCATACAACCTCAACATGAAGGTAGAACGAGTACTATATATTATATAATGAAATGAGATTATAACTCATTGTGAAGTAAAAGACATAGATCTCAATCGCATTATACAGTAACAAAACGTTTATAGCAAGACTTTGATACAGCTTATATTTCATAATATACATTTTCTCTTAACAGTTGCCTGAATCAAGTACTTACTTAAAGATAAATGTTACAATATTTATAATGTAAATACTTTTGAACGCAGATAGTGTTATTTAAATATTGTCTCTCATTTTGGTATCTTTATGTGATAATTATTTTAGTCATATGCTCTCATAAGTCTTTAAGAGTGACTTTTAGAAATGTTTTTTTCTAACGTATTTTAGTTTTCTGACATTGTCCTATATATGTGAATTGTTCGAAGGGGAGATTCTAATGAAATAAAGAATCTGTATCTGATTCATATTTGTTGTTCAGGTGGACTGTGTCCCAAAATGACCACTGCGCCACCTACAGGGATGACGACAACCATGCTGATGAGTACAACAGTAACTATGGACAACACAACAGGTCCACCTACACCCCCTCCAGGTCCTATCACAGACACTCGTCTGCCTACCTCTGTCAAACCACTGCTGTATGTGTTAGCATTACGACCGGAGCTCTACAATAGCAAGCCAGAAACTTTTACTTTTAATGGCACAGTCGGGATAACAATAGAATGCATTTCTGCCACGGATAACATCACTCTCCATATAGCCACGCAGAATCTTACGGCCACCCCGACAGTAGAAGCTGTTAATACTTCCGATGTCTCGCCTGTGGTCCTAAACACCACCATGGACATGGCCAGACAGTTCTTGATCCTCTCGTTAGATAAATCGTTAGTAGCTGGAAACCAGTACGTCGTTCGAATCGCCTTCGAAGACAGACTGTCTAATGAAGTTCTTTTGGGCATGTATGTTAGCACTTACAGAGATGAAGCGGCGAACATGACCAAGTAAGTACTTGTTTTGCTTTATTACACCCTGATCAGTGTACATATGGTAATTGCAGGGAATAAGTAGCCGAGAGGTTTTTTTTTGTTATTAGTATGATTTAAAATTATATATATCAATTTGATAAAACGTCTTTCATTTTCAAAAATCATAGAAAAAATATCACATATTTAGCATATTCCATGAAAACGGTTATGAAAAATATCTTGTAATGTGGTTTCCAAAAAGTCAATAAAAAGCAGGACAAGGTTTGTTTCCAACTTAGTGCGTAGATTTACAAACTAACGTATACATATATAGATAAGCATCTATGAATTAGAGAACTACATTGTGTTGAAGATATATGGCTGTCACCCAGTTTGCGCCAACCTATGCCAGACATGCGTTTCCATGTTTTGACGAGCCAGCAATGAAAGCGAGGTTTGATATCACCCTGGAGCGACAACCTCACATCATCAGTCTCTCCAACATGCCGATATCTAGTTCAATAGTCCTGTAAGTATTTGAGGAATTCTAATCACAGAAATTAAAATCTGAATAGCATAGCCAAGCTTTGTCGTGCAAAATGGCAACGAAAGTTTTTCTTTCAACGGTTATTTTAAACACCTGATTTAAAAACTGGTATTATTTCATAGTATGAGAATCTTTATCATTTAACCAGTGAAAATACTGTTTATCGATTTTTTAAAATATAAATGTAAATATCTTGTTTTAACATTTCCATTATTACTAATCTGAAACGAGAGTTTTATTCGCTGGTATCTTTGGAAGTGAAAATGATTGTGTGGTTGGTCAGATGATGATCTTACCCATTTGTATAAACTATTGCGTTACCATAATATCAGTTCCTTTTCATTGCAACATTTCGTTTTATTGACTTTAGCGTGCATTAATGTGTGTAATGTTTGCGTGTGTGCTTGGGAAGTAGGTCGGTGTATTTGCCTTTTTGCGATAGCCCGAATCTAATGCCAACTTAAGAGTGCTCCCTCACTGAAATACCATTGCATAAGGAGAAAATATATAAGACACATGAGATAAGTCACGAGTATTGCACAATGCATGTAGTTCACCAAATGCCATCTTAATGAAAAGCCCTAGACTCTTCAATATTTCCAAAATCATGTTACAAGTAGCATGGAAATTTAGACGTGCAGAGATTTTATGTATACTACGTACAATAGGTGTTGGCTCTTTGTATTTTTCGTGACAATAATGGACCTGCTGTGTCCCACTGCATGTCGCTAGAGGCGACTAATGTTAGCCCCCCTCCACTGTATACATACCATATTCCTCTCCCGAATTCACTAATCTTATATTAGGGGTTTGTACTCACCATCCCCAAAGGTTGCGAACCCTACATCTCTCGGAGATCGCACTCAATGTGAATGAAACTGTAAAAAAAAGATTTTAAGTTTACAGTTTATTTCCACGAGGTTTTTACAAATCTTTTTATTGTCGTTTCAGCGGAGACGGTTATATTGCTGACCATTATGACACCTCAGTCGTAATGTCAACGTACCTAGTGGCCTTCGTCTTTGGTGAACTGGACAGCGTGAAAAATACAACAGCAAATAATGTTCTGGTGAGGATTCAATATAAAATACATAAGTAATAATTCGCAGTACTCGTTTCCAAGAATGTCATTAAAAAGTTCATTTTGGAAAAGAGTTATCTCAAAAGTCCACATGGAAATAAACCAAAGTCCCTTCTAGTGCATGCGATGATTATCCGTTGTCATTCTTAATCATTTTCTATATGGAATATTAAAGTGACACTTGTCTGATTTTATTGCAAACATTGACTTTGTATGTCTAGTGTAATCATATCACCATGACCCTTGTTTTAATTTGATTAACAAAGTTCTTTACTAAGGTGACACGATTATATAATTTATAATGATTATTCTATATTATTATTTTACTATCGTGTGCTATGAACATTTTGTATTCTTGGACCCATTGATGAAAATGTATAGATTTATATTATAAAGGATAACTTGACATATTTACCATTAAGCGTTAGCGAGATTGATGAATGTTTCCTTGAACCAAATGTTGTTAAGACCTCATAAGAAATAAATTGCAGCCCTTATTTGAAGTAAGTACACACCTTATTTCATGTATGTCGATATCGTGATGTCAAAAGGTCGATATTACTTTGATAATGTATTATTATTTCGTTAGCATTAAAGCAAGAATGTGACGTCAACATTGCGAGGTCTTAAATATGTTGTTGTTCGCAGGAAACATTTTTTTATTGAAGCATTCATAATAAAGTTGACGTGGCCTCATTTTATTTGTCAAATGGTCTCATAGTGTTCCACCATAGATCAATTTCATAAAATCAATATAAGATGCAAACACTTTTACATCCCTTTGCATATTTACGGGTATTAGTATTTATAAAACATCATATTTGTCTTACAGTTCGGAGTGTATACAACGCCTAGTAATATCAACCAGACATCGCTTGCACTGCAACTGGGAAGCGAACTTCTAGATACATTTGAGGAATATTTCAACATAAACTATGTTCTTCCAAAGCTCGGTAAAACATATTATTTTTTTTGTTCCAGCGTTAAGTCAACAGGTAACTTTTCCTTTTTCATAGATTGACGTTCAGCAGTGTAGATTGTGTAATAAAGCAATAACATTTAAGCTTCTTATCTCTGATATATACAAAAGTATTCTAGACACTGACTGTGTATAAAGATGACACAGTGGTTTAAATACAAATAAAATCTTTATTTATTTTACAACAATTATGAAACAAGTTTTATCAACGTATATCTATCGATTTTGCTGGCCTTGATGGCAGCGCATAGAGGAGCTTAATGTTGGAAGAAGCCGGGTTACCCTGAGAGAACCTCCGGCGATACGCAGCCCGACCAACTTAACATTAAGCGTTGCTTACTTTGGGTTTACGGTCTGGCGGAGCAACAAAAAACATTTTAACCTTTCACCAAGACGGCCGAGTTTCGTTTGTCTAATGGTACGTGCAAAGTTCCAAGTCGCCTACCGGGCCGCGTGGAATTTATCCGGGTATTCCAGCTAAAATACTAGGACATTTTGCACTTTTCCTTCCATCCAGTCCAACAGGATCGGTAACATATGTGGCTAAAACTTGTTTGGTAATTATTGCTTAATAAATAAAGTTCGATTTTAGCTTTAGACGTGTAAACAACGTTGTATGAAGATTCAATTTTTCTAACAATCGTATTTCTAAAACTTCGAGAGCCTTGAATTCGATTTTGTTCCGTCTGTTTCTTTTTATCTCATAATGTACTGTGTTATCCAGTGAATATACCCCTGTCATATATTTTGCTTATTAACCCATGTTATTTGACCTATCAGCCCTGTGATTGGTTGTAAGTGTTAATTGTTTGAATTGTGACGTCACGCCTAGGACAAGAACATGACGTCACAGACTTACACACTGGAGCCAAAATGGCGGCTTTTTATATTCAAGGTTGCATGAAAATTGTCGTTTTATACGAATAAATGCCACAAATATTAATTATGTGATAAAAAGGATCTTATACTCGTTTTCATTTCATATAAAATTATGAAACTCGTCAAGAATTTTTCCTTTTTTGCTCGCCAGAGGCTTGCTAAATTGAAACATTCTTAGACTCGTTTCCTATGAAATGGAAACTAAGGTAAGATCCTAAATGAATATGTTTTTATAAAGTGATTCTAATTACTAAACCACACTTTCTGTTGTGTCTTATCTTTCCGTCGGATACAGAAATCATCCATTTACATAATATATTTTAAAGATCGCAAATATTTCGACATAACGAGGTTATATATATATATAATATGTTAACATGCACATAGCATTGTATCAATGCTGAATAAACTGTCAGTTATGTTTTACAATTTGCTGTTTAGGGACACGTTGTTAAAAGCTTGCTCATCTAAACGTCAATAAAATGTTCTTTACGTGCAATTAAACTATCAAGGTAATATTGACCTCGTTGTCGTTGTGTGCTAAGGTTATAATATATTGATTATACTCTGGAGATAATGTCAAGTTTTTGTGATGGGATTGTGGTACACCTGCATATTATTTTATCTTCCAGACAATGTCGGGGTGCCTGACTTTGTGTTCGGAGCCATGGAGAATTGGGGACTGATGACGTACCGGGAGATCTTCCTCGTGTATAGGGAAGGCGTGACTACCACACAAGACATGGAACTAACGTCCGAGGTCCTGTCACACGAGATCGTCCATTCAGTAAGTAGCCCAAAGCGAAATTACATTAATGCATCACTCTTCAGCATCACTTTCACATCTGGATCTAAATCAGTCTAGACCTTATGATAATCATATTTATGGTATCACCCAGTAACAAAAACCAAAATAGGAAACAAATAATGTCAACTTATTTGAAAGTATCTGTACTTTAAATAGGTTGTGTATTTCTGATAACAAGGTTTAACATCTATTCTTAATGCTTAATAAGTGTATAACCAACTGATATCGCCATTACCGTTATAATCCAATTAAAAAATAATGTATACTTTGCCTCTTCCCCTGTAGTGGATAGGTAACCTTGTATCCCCGACTTGGTGGGACGATGTTTGGCTTAATGAAGGGTTCGCAACCTTTCTTTCTTACCTTGGAGTTCATCGCGTAGTCCCCGAGTGGGGGATGGTGAGTACAAACCCCTAATCTAAGACTAGTGCATTCGGGAGAGGAAGATGGTATGTATACAACTCCTATATAAGACTAGTGAAGCACTACAGTCTGGGAGTGATAGGCGATATTCATTCACTCCCTATATGTTTTTCCAAATAAGTTTATTCTGACTTTGTTTTTGCTAATGGTTATAAATATATCACTACTCTATCTTATGTAAAGATGTCTTTATGTGATAACTGTTGCCCAAATGTGTTTAACGGATATGTCCACTACCTATTTGTAAAAACGCATCACTTCATATGCTAGAGTGTAGTGCAGATATTGATTGACTTTGCAAAATAGCAATAGACACAATCAAAGCAATATGAGCGAAATCTCAATGAAAAGAGACACTTTAACGAGTGATGCTATTATTTATAATACAGCTGAACAAGTATGAATATTCATGAGTTGTAGATGGACCTGATTAACCTTTATGTGATACAACCAGTAATGGACGTAGACAGCGTTGAAAATGTGACCCCTGTCTACAGAGAGGCGTACACACCCGACCAGATACTGGCATTGTTTGAAATCATCACCTACTTCAAGGTTAGCTCATCCTGTTATACGTGTCTTGAGTGATTTAATCTACAATGCTGGCGGAATTTACTTTATTAGTAATTGTGTTTTAAAATATTCTTTTAATACGTTTAAAATACAAAACTTACATGTACCCGCTCTCTCTCTCTCTCTCTCTCTCTCTCTCTCTCTCTCTCTCTTTCTCTCTCTCTCTCTCTCTCTCTCTCTTTTTATCAAAATTAAATTCAAATTTCGAATGTGTTGAATGGATTCATAATCAACTTTAAAATGTTTCATCTTGTGTTCGACTTAATAAAATTAACCATTCATAAAAGAGTTTCAATTTGAAATTCAATTTCAGAAACAGATGCATATATAAGTACAGTAGTAAAGGTTTTAGATGGAGGTACTTAGCATACAAATCCAATACGATACAACGTATCGTTAAAAATGTATTAATGAAATGGAAACTATTTTCAGGATCGGCATTGATTGATGAAACTTTTGAGAAATGAAAACAATGCCTTGACGAATGTTATACAAAATATGAAAAGAAATAACACGCACAAAAAAATTGTTTTTGAGCATAACTATTCAACTCGTCATACAAGGTGTTTAACCCTTGACCCTAGATTATTATACTGTTACTCAAACTATCAAATCTTCCTGTCCAGTGGTAGTTACATGGCCACATCTTGCTACGGTTATATCTAAAACCTAAATAAAAAGAGTGACTGTTTTTCATACAATTCAATGTATCAATTGAAGCATTTGTTTGGGCAAATCACATTTAAGAAAAGCAAGGTCAAGATTTATGTCCCCTAACTATTATTGTCCATCCGCAGACAATACAGTAGAAAACTATCTCTTTGTGGAGTTTTTTTTATTTCTTTTTCATTTTTCGTTTCATTAAAGTTCCGTACTAGAATGTTGAAACGCATACAGTCAAACATTTTTCTTTCACATAACGATATATGACTGTTTTATGTATGTATCATTTATCTTGATACAACTTTGATAAAAGTAATTCATGTAGTACACTATTTTAAATGAGAGTTAAAACATAAACTTAACACAGTATATGTCTTGTTGTACATAGGGATGTGCTGTTATACGGATGATGTGGAACTTCCTTGGACCAGAAACCTTCAGGAAAGGACTAGAGGTATGTTATACTGGCATGCGGTCGATATGACATTCAGTTTAGACAATTCAGTGATGAAATCAGTTGATATTGCAATACCCCGTCTCCTTACTATTTTTATTTAAAACAGCAGTTGACAATTTTGACAGATTATTACAAAACATGTTTTTTATATAAAATTATCAACTTTGGGAATACTAATCCAATTTATACCAAATAAAATGCATAAATCGAAATTACGACGTTATTGCGATCAGTCGGGTGTGTGATCAGTTCGTCCTTCTAGACTTCCTTAATGTGATTGAGTGTAGTAGCAAATACTTTTTATAGGTTCAGCCAAATACCTGTCATCTGGCATGCATCTCTCAAAAAAAAAATGTACAAAAAACATATGTTTTATGTATTCTATGACATTTTTTATAACTTGTACAACAGTTACAACAGTTAAATAATATGTTGCTATTTGTATGAAAATTGGAAGAGCAACGGTAATTGAAATAGATTTCAAAAAGGACATTTTTGGAAATTGCAATTTTTTTAAATAACTGTTTATTTAACTTTGCAAACAATCCTGATAAAAAAAAACAAGATCGCAGCATACCACAGACTTATAATATATATATTACAATTAAGGCACTAGAAAATTAAAAACACAAAAGACCATGTCTTCCCCTTATTGCTGTGTTTTCTTTCTGGTAGATTTTACGTATCCGGTAGATATCAATATGCTGTCTATAATTGATTATTCACACATGTAATTAATTAGTTTACTATTATTACAGGGCTATTTAAATGAGAAGGCCTATGGAAACGTCGCTCATGATGACTTGTGGGCAGTCTTACAAGCGGTATGTGCCTTTTTACGATGTATGTAATTTGTGAATCTTCCTCTGGTAGATGTTTCATGCATGTACAGAATATCGTAGGTCAACATCGTTCAGAGCAAACCTTGTTCCTGTCTGTATCAATCTGATTAAACTACAGCTCCTCATTATACTACATCGGTACAAACACAATAATTACGTCGGTTTCGAGCATTGCATAGCATTTCTTCATTATGTGTTAGGGTGTAAAATACACACGCGAATTTAATTAACTTAAGTTACCTCCAGTCTAACAATAAGCTCTTGTTTTTTTAAAAGAAATTACTTGCCTATGTTAGCCCCTTTCACCGGCAGTCTTTATTTTACATATAGCCAAATACTATTTAATCGATAGGGACAAACGGTAGTTTTACCGACCATCGATGATACATGAATAGGAACTCCACAGTTATTGAATTAAATTAGTCATTCCACACAAGGAAATCTCAGATGCCGATTATTGAAGTTGAGTCTATCAGGACATTGCGGTTCAGCGGTTCCAAAACCTCCGTTCAGACCGCACATTGTCAAGACAAGTATTTCCAACAAATACCAATAGTACTTATTAAATAATACATATAACATTTCTCCAACAAAGCATTATATTTAGATTACATAGTGAAGTGTTTATGTTTTTGTGAAGAAAGTGTATAAGCATTTTGATATTGTTTTACCCCAGCTACTGTCATCTTTCTGCAGCGTTGTCTCTATTGCACTATTTGTAGCAAGCAGTCATGGATGGTAATACTGATGTCAACGTGAAAGCTGTGATGGACTCATGGATATTACAGAAGAACTACCCAGTGGTGACAGTGAGGAGAGTGAATGGTGGCCTCTATCTGAATCAGAGTCGATTTCTTCTCAAGTCTGACAATACTACTGATTTCGCAGGGTAATCTTACATTTTTAATAACTGGAATACTCTCTTGCCTTTGCATACGCCCGTCACATTTGACGGGAGTATTATGATATGGGTTTGTCCGTCCGTCCGTCCGTCCGTCCGTCCGTCCGTCCGTCGTAAACTTTTGTTTGTCCGGCAATGTCCTCCTACATTTTCGACCGATCTCTTTGACACTTGGTATACAATATAATCATGATATGAAGTTGTGTCTCCCTTAAAAGAATTTAGATTCGACAATATTTGCAAAAGTTATTGCCCTTTGTTCATTTCAGTATTTGATGTTGTGTCCGGAGATTTTCTCCTACATTTTTTATAGCATGTCAGCTAACCACTCTTAGAATGATGCATATCTTATTTCAATGTAAGAAAGTATATAACACTATATGGCATTCGACCGGCGTGTATTGTTCCGCCCCGCGGTAACTCTTGTTTTATAAGCATTGGTCTGATGAATGTATATCGTTGTTGTTACCAGGACGTGACACATGCACTTTTCACTGGTTGTGCTACATGTACATGGATATAAACCAATGTGCAATTTGTCCGGTATCACCAATCTCTACCCAGAGTTGTCGTTCCTTACACTGGTGAACTGACCTGATGATAAAGTAGTCGATCTTGTCCAAGACCATCATATCGTACGGCTTAACGGCACATGATCAAGTGTTACATGAACAGAGGCTATTAAGATTGTAAGGAACGTCAACTTGGGGTAGAGATTGTGGTATATAATGAAGGTATTTTGTTTTGACATCGCATTTTTCTGATTCCTGTAAATATCTTGCTTGTCTGTTGAAACATGAATTTGCAATTCAATAAATGGAATAGTTAAATCAAGGTCTATTAATTTAATCTTAAAATAGGTGTTTTTATTGTTAGTGGATAGATATTTGTTATCGATCTGATTCAAACTAGCTCCTTTGCAATTCGTTGTTGCACTTAGTCGTAGTATCAAGAATGTACAAACGTTTTGCACATTTTGTGGGGTTTTATTTTCAAACCGTTAACTGGTCCAAGACATTTCTCAATTTTAACATTATCCTTCAATTGTTCCCTTATTAGCTTGACATAAAACCTCTAGCCCTAAACTGTTTTTTAAGATTTAAGGAAAATCTTAAATGTAAAATCATTTTTGTATTACGAAAGACTAATAGTACCATTGCGCCAATGGTCGTGTATTGGCAGTGAAAGGTTACTCTGTTAAAACCTGACGCGGCGTTGCCAGATCATACACCATCATATATATGTTGTAGAGAAACTGAAGGAAATATTTGATTTTGTTATTTGGAATTTGCATTTAGCGATACTGCAAAATCATGTTTGAAATTGCATTATGTGAATTATGATCGTTATATAGCAATATATATCAATAAACGATGTAGAGTTCAAGTGTCGTTGATCATCAAAATATATAAACTCGTCCTAAATTTTCAAGGTTTGAACTACATCCGCATTGGTTATACACACAGTTTATGTATTTCATATACTTTACAGATACAGCTGGAATATCCCATTCACCTACACCACTGATAAAGAACTGAAATTCGACCAGTCGGCAAGTGATATAGTTTGGATGGCACCAAATACACAAGGTTTGGTTTGGTTTTAATTCAAGCTTGAGTGATATGCTAGTGGGCACATTTTCAACTTCCGACAGCATTTTCGACTAAGACTTAATGTCATTGTATAAATGTTGGACGTCCATATTTGTAAATATGAACGTAATAACGCAATTAATATGATATACATGAAACACAAGTGAGAGAGGAATGAAAAAAGAACGCTGCTTCGAGAATCATCCAGTCTACAGTATTTAGACCATGACATTTCAGTAAGACGAAACTTTAACTCATCCACACCTGAAGACACATTTTGACTCCTCAAATTCAAAGGTTGGAGAAGTTCATTATGCAATTTTAGGGGTGAATGAGTTAAAGTGGTTTATTATCCATTATCCATGTCACTTTTCATATACAAGTACATGCTGTGTAGAAACAAAGAAACAAATAGAGTTGTCTTTGACATATTGTTAATATTTTAAACCTTGCATTCTTTTGTCATGCATTGTTCTATTAACGTATGAGAACGGTTTTCAAAAAGAACGAAAAATTACAGTCAGCATTTAATAATTATGATGTACCTCAAATTCATGAAAGAGTATGGTAGATTAAGAAATGCATTACCCTTGTTTCCAGTATACGTTACCGATGCCAGCCTCAACAAGTCCAGCGGATGGGTTATGGGGAACATACAACATTATGGGTACTTCCGAGTGAACTATGAACAGGAGAACTGGAACGCCTTGATAACTCAGCTGAACACTGATTATACGGTGAAAAAAAAAGATATACAATATTGAGTAATCGCACTGTTTATTTACCACGTTTCATTTTCTCATTTGACACGTTGTGTGATATAAAGGTCGATGTTTTTATATTATGCTTTTAAGTGCCATGTAAGTTTGTTGTCACTTACTTTGATTTGCCCAAGATTTACTCAGCGGGTGTCGTCGATGAATCAGAAGACGCATAACCTTCTGTAACTCCTGGTCTTAATTTCCTCTCACTTTGTGAAGGATCTCCGTGTAACACTTTCATATTTCACCCTAGTTTTATCGATTTTGAATTCAAATTATAGTTTTCTTAATACTTTGTATTTTCTTGACGTTTTCAACCCATCTTTGCTTATTTTCAATTCTATACAATTGCGTAAGTAAAAACCTTTTTTGATTGTTTCAGAAAATTCACGTTGTAAACAGGGGAACTCTCATAAGCGACGTCTGGGCTCTATTCAAGTAAGTAATTTTATCATTTGTTTTACTATTTCCTTTCATGATTAACTATTTTATTTTATTTTTAAAGCCTTTAAATTTCGAAATAAAATCCCTGTAGTGATTACAGTTTATCATCGATCCCTCCATTCTGCCTCTTTCACTTTGTTTCATTATTACAATATTGTTGCGTTAATCTTCGCTGCAGTAAATGGTATTTTTCAAAATGCAGACGGAAATTTTAAAGGCATAGAAAAAAATGATGAAAAATGGATAATTAATATCAATAGCAAAATATGCACTACCGGATTCATAAGACCTACACAGACCTATTATACTTGTACCATTTCTATTGAGGTTCAATATAGCTTTCATTTTACTTTGGTGACATCCTAGTATTCTTGTTAACATATCTAAGAAAAATAATCTCTCAGTTCACCAATAGGTATTTTGAAACCTTTCAGTGTATTATTATGGCCTCTCTGTTTGTCGATCATTTCCTTGACATCATTCATCGTTTATGAACATATGATGAGGTATCCTAATCGATTCTGTGGCTTTACAAGAGTTATGCTGCTTTTTCCATGTTAGAAAAGTTTTGTGAATTCAACCAACGTCGATTGAGAAAGTAGTCTCCAATTTACGCCTTCCTCGTTTTGACCCGACAAATTTGGGAAAAAGGTCTTATTACATTTATGTATATACGCCTAAGTTGTTCTTGTTTCTATTCTTATATATGCACATTGCTGCCAAAACTCTTCATGTATCTAAATTTTAGCACTCTGAAACACAAACTCGTTTGAGGTATTTTCATAACTGACCTAGATATGCGTTTGTTCCCAATCTTTTCAGAAATTAATTTGCTAGAACGCTGACAAGATGCGAGTAATCTTGCGAACGTGTGATACAGAACGTTATGTCCTTTCAGCGACATTGTGGATAAGGGATTATAATTATCTTACATCCCATAAGGCTTGTTCTCTTGTCATCATAGGGCTGGGATGGCTGATGTGGAGACTGCCTGGGATATGCTGTCCTATCTACGTCACGAGACTGAGTTTATACCCTGGTCGTACGCTGCTAGTGAACTCACGTTTCCGGATAGTATGTTGAGAAGTCGTCCAGCGTATGGAAATTTTGAGGTCTGTTTGGCATGCACTACATAGGTTTAATTTTAAAACACACATTGTTTCTTCAATGTGAGATTTCTTAAATAGTTATTGATATTGACATTTTTTTTCTACAGAGAAGGTTGTCATATCTAAACAACAACAATAATAAGCAATTTATTAGCACATACATATTCAGTTTCCTTTTTGATACTAATGGAAAGTTTTAATTTCGTGTTTGACTTTTTCAACAGTCTTTATTAACGGAATCATTACGACTAAGGTAATTACCTAGCAGATATCGTATTCAACTTTTTTTTTCTAATTTTCTAATGCAGAGATTCATGCTGAGCTTGCTTGAAGGCCGTTCATTGAATGTCACCCTGAATGACAACCGTCCTACCCAGCAAAGGTATTGCCTTACCTTGATTTAATACTTCAGAATCCCACTTCCAATGCAGAAAAAAACTAGAGAACTCTAGTGGGTGTTTTTATTTTGCATACAATAATATAACCTTACATTTGTTTAAGCCATCACTGTATCGCGTCTTGACCACGAGTCAGCCATTGGCCAGGTAGCTCAGTTGGCTAGAGGTAAACATGATGTCCAGGGTTCGAATCATGGTTTTGCCCGTTGTTTTATTTTCACTCAGGAAACTGTGATGTGCTATTTTTTTATTACTTTATTATTTTTTCATGAAACTACCGCAATGTATATTTATCCATGAATAATTTAATCTATAGTATTATCGAAAAAATGTCCAATGCGAAGCTACAATTTTTGGCGGTGGGACATACATCCGTAATTAAGATGATCTCTTGAATTAGCCCTAGTGATGTTTCAAATAAAATTGCAATCAGCTGACTTTTTTTTCAATACAAACACATGCATATGCTTTTTTAGCACAATGGCGACTACCCGAGGACATCTTTATTACTTTTATTATTCAATTTAAATTAAAAAACAAACATTACTCAAGTGACAGATGTCAACTGCTGACTGTAAAAAAACTAACAATACAGGGTTTCCAAAGATTCAGGCTATAGAAGAAGAATATGGCAAGGTTTTATGGTTGTTATAATGATACAATTTAGAAATAAGGTGGATTTTTTTTGTAATATGAAGGACGATGTTTTTTTATTATGCTCATTAGTGTGCCTTTTTGTGATGTTTAATGGCACTGGCCCGGTTCTTGATATAAAGCCGTGACATTAATTGGATTTGACCTAGATTTATATGATGGATATCGTCGATAAAGCAGAAGACGCTTTCCCTTCCGGACCATCTGGTTTAATTTCCGCTATACTTACTTGAAAGTCTCCGTGTCAATCTTACCTTTGTCCATACTTATAAAGTTTGAGCTCGAATTACGGTTCTGTTGAAAATTTGATACTCTTTAGTTGTTGTTTTATATTACATTAAATTTGACGATGACAATCGATACTTCTACCAAGGGCTGCCTCGAATTATTCTATGTTTTTACATTATGCTAGGACTCTGTTCAGGGGCCTGAAACAAATTGACCCCTTGAATTCGAACTTACTAGAATAATTAAATTTAAACACTGTTGTCCTGGTATGCCCACCGGGGTTGTCTATCTAGCTCGTGATTTTTGTGGTGAGGCAGGGTGGCGTTTCTCGAATTAATATTGGTGTCATGTCGGTGCTACACAAACAATAATTCCACACATGCGTTTAGTTCACGTATATGTGTTAATTGACACATATATGTGTACTTAATTTAAAATACACGGGTAAATAACATACATATAGATAGCTTTACTCATATGTTTATAATGCGCCAATCTAATCTACCATGATGCCAATTATAACACGTGTAAAACCTTTCACAAACACAGCATCATTACGTAAGAATATCACCAGTGCACATAAATATAAATGTATACAATAACATATGCTAAGTTATATTAAAAGCAGGGCCGTTTGAAATTACGTGTCACTGCAATATTGCTTTTGATTGCACTGAAATGTTTTTGTCTTATTTTCAGGTCCCTTTCAAAACTGATGTTCAGTCTGTCGTGCAAATATGGTATTCAAGCATGTGCCACGCGTTCAAAAGAACTATTTAACGACTGGAAAAACTTAGGAACACTGTAAGTAACTACCAAACAATTTTATACTGACTTGGGTACTTACTTATTTATTTTACATAACTATTACCTTCCGATACGTCGGCCTTGGAACATTGCATTCCATGTTATTCAAAGGTGCATTTGAAAAGAGACGATCGGCACGTTGTGGGTATGCGATACAAAGAGGTTCCCCACCGAGTGATGGTTGGTTATCATGTTTATCTAAGTCGAGTTAGTTAACTTTTAAATTGTATAAAGACACAAGGTTTACCGAGTGGTTTTTACGATTTGAAAATTAACTAACGAGAGTTAGATAAACATGATAACCTACCATCACGAGTTTGGGGTCTTTTTTCTCCATTAGCGTTCATATTTATATCTGGAAAGCCATATGTTTCCCTTGAAAATACACTATGTCGGCTTCCGATGGGGCGAAACAATTGCCGTGAATCATGACGTCACAATGGAAGATATCATCGCAAAGCATTGTTACGTGACTTCATAAGTAAAAGATTGACCAATAAAAGTGTGTGACCCACTAGTGGGTAACCAAACATTTTTACCAAATCCTGATAGGTTTATCCAATTAATCGGGAGTGAGGAAACCTATAGTGGTTGTGGGAGAAAATGTACACCGTGCTCCTTCAAGATGATGTTTCAAGTTATCTTTTAATTCTCTTCCTTTACTATCAAGTCTTTGAATTGTACTAAGGCACATTTAGTGAGACCTTCAGACAGAATATCGATACCAAGTTGGCTGTCATGTTACCATTACTAATATTAGACATTTTAAAACTCTGAAACAGAGAGTCGAGTCATGTATTACCTGTACACAAATCATTTTTACAATGCGTCCCAACACATAAATATATAGGTAAATAACATCCGTTGTTGTTTTGTCGTTTTTATTATTGATATTTGGTAAAGAAAAGGATGACTTTCACTTTTATTGTCATGTTTTATTACGCATTACCTTATTCCTGTAAGTCTACATAATGATTTATTCTTCTCCCACCTCTTGCCCGAGAATTTGATAAAACACTGACATTGATATTGCTAATGACACAAGAGAAATAGTAGATTCCTAGATAAGCGACAAATTAATTAAGAATTTGAGAGAAAAAAAAACGTCGTGGTATTCCGTAGGTTTGTTTTGAAATAATTTAAGTAATTTGCAAAAGCTCATTTGAAAATTTATTTTTTCCCTAGCATACAAGACGCCGTCTTTTGTATTTTGGTGGCAGATGATTTTCGCTAAACCAAATGCAAATATTTTGAAATATTTTGCATTGAAATTCCAGCCTATATGTTACTGAACATTATGAAATGAAGCATATTTGATTTCATGAACTTCTTTGTGAAGATGTTTAAAAAAAGAGTTCTTAAACCTTGAGCACCGATTAGAGATTCACTAAGGGAAATTCACTTTGCACAATTTGTCTTGAATAGTCAGAGGTGGGAGACGATATCGTAAAGGTATTTTCATTTCCAAGATCTAAAATTACATTTCATAGTGGCTGAAATGTAAACTACCAGTATTCAAATAGGAATAAATATAATGATCACATGCCACATGTAGGCGGAAAAGGCATAGCAGCGTTGATAATTCTGCGATTGACGTCAGCGAAATGTTTGTAGCATATGCGAAATACACAGGGCCAAATTTGAAACACAAAAATTACAAAAAACACAATAAAAACCGAGTTAACAAAAATTGATTCACACAAAATAAATTGATTTAGTTAACTAGTCCGTTGATATATAATGTTTGTGTTTTGTTGTAGGATTCCAGCTGACATCAAGGAGACAGTATTCTGTAAAGCAGTAAAAGAAGGAGGAGAAGAGGAATGGGATTACATGTTTAACCTTTACGTCAATGGACCAGTCACGGAACAACCCGCCGCACTCACTGCACTGGCTTGTTCAGACCGTTTGTGGATCATCAGCAGGTCATTATCTATAAATCTAAATATCACAATTAAAATTGTGGCATGCATGTCAGTATTCCTCGCATTTTCCTATTGTGATGCACTGCTCGTAGCTAATATAAAAAAACCCACTTAAAACAACATTTATAGCTCTCTGACTGAAATCGGATTTTGCTTACGTGATGCTTGTTACGTTATTGTAATTGTTGTGACGACATCGATGTGAAGTCAAGAGGTCATCGAACTAACTGAGACAATGATCCGCGTTTTTTTCCGTTGTATTATAGTCGATGAAGAATATTCAATGTCGAAGCACTGAGGGTTATCATTTCTATACGTGTCAGCATCCTAACAGCGAATATAAGGATTGAAGTACCGTATATAATTTCCTTTGTTGTGCCGGTAATAATTTTGATACATTACGTTCATATTCACAGATAGTCCCTAACGTGCTTAATAGTTTACAACTGGACTTCTTTGCAATGCATACTTAGATAAAAAGGAAAGATATATTTTTCCTTCATTACATTTGGCGGGTAATATAGAGACTCTTGTAATAAATGATTCTCTCAATGTTTGAAAGGCATCAAATTAAAAATTGAGACGATCAGCCAAATAGAGTACTTGATATATTTGTTTTTTATATGCTCCTATTTTACTATTGTATGGGACGTTGTTATGTTGTGGTGTTGTCTGGCTGCCTGACTTGTTTGACGGGAACAATCATTACATTCTTATTGGTTCCTCTACATTCACCAAATCTGATAAACGTATCTGCCTTGGAAAGAAAGGCAGAGTGATATGAACTTTGCTCGTCTCTGGTGCCCCTTACAACTTCATTGCTGAATGTCGCTAAGACTCTCAATGAAGGGAATATTAATACAGAGTGCAATGCCATAAAGAAGATATAATTACTGATTTTTATGTTAAACGTGCATATCCTATGATAAAGTCTGTCACTATCAAAAACATGATTCAAGATATCAGGACATATGCAAAATGGCACACTGATATATCAATTTCTGTCCACCACGGCGGTATTAGAATAAACTCAGATTGGAATATAACGTCAGCAAAAATGAGCAATTCATTACAACTCAATAAAGCAATTAGAAAGTCTAAAATTGTCCTTAACACATTACAGTGGTATACTTTTATATTTTGTTCTTCAATTAAATGACAAATGTTAGGATAAATATTAAAACAAAAAATAGAAGTATTTGCTTTTAAGAAAATCATTTGATGAACTGAATATTCGGCAGTCTTTTTTGCAGTCTGTTTTCCCTTTTGTTGTGCTTAAATTAATAATAGTTAGGCTTTATTTTAATGAATTACAACCTTAATTCTTAAAACTGAAGGTGATAGAAGGGCCGATATTATTCTTTGTCAACTTAGAAACTTCTGTAGCAATTTAAATTTTAATTTATTCAATTACCATTTAACTGACTGTCCTTCTTATGCTTGCTCTTTTGAATATGAAACAGTTTTCCATTATTTTCTTGAATGTCCATTGCATAATGATCCCAGACTTACTTTATTTACTTCTGTTGATAATTATGGAAGTCATAACCATATCGATGCAAACATTTTTCTACAAGGCTGTCCTGATTGTGATGGACTAACAAACAGATAGTTACTTAATGATGTACAGTTATTTATTGGTAAATCGACGCGTTTTAATCTCTATATGATCTAACCAGCCATGGCCTTATACTTTATACTTTTAATACTTAACTATTCCTATTTCAATTATACTCCACAAATAAGTAACTTTACCTATTTTTCTATAAAGGGTATTCTTCTACGGACATAGGAGTTTTAAGTTTAGCATGTTTGATTGTTGTTGGTTGTTGCTATATTTGTTCAATTTGTCTTGTTTTACAGTTTCCATCTTATACATTGAATTACACATTGACTAGCTATCTGTTTGCATATAAAATTATAATAACTTAACAGTTTTGGCGACTGTGGCCTGTGCATATATTTGCACATAGACTTTTGGTCAATGTCTGCCAATATCTGTGTGATTTGATACCTGTATAGCTTATATACATTGTTAAATGTTATAAAAATAAATCATACCTGTGGAATTGTTTTGTGTGTGATGTGAAAAGTGTGAATGTATTTGTATTTCAGTTGTGTTAATTAAGAAGGAGTTACATCCCTTTAACTTTTTTGTTTATAATTTTTATTTCAAAATTGATGTAGAATCCATTAATTTAGCCACCGCCGGAGAGAATTTATATAGGCTTTGCCTGTTATTCCATCCAATTGACTTGTATCAACTTTGTCAATAACATTTGTTGAAATGAAATGAATGCATTACAGTTAAGTTTTATTGCTGCAATAACGCGTGAGGCTAAGTGATAATTAACGTATCGAAAAACTGTCTGCTGTCAGCATGTTATATATAATGACGGAACATGAATAAGATATGAAGACTGATTAAACGACACCAATGTAAAATTGGACAGTTATTCGTAACGATTAACATTCTAGGTTTACTTTCTTTCCCCTGGAAAGTCATCTTAAAAAGTTCTTCGTTTTTCTGAATGACGAATAACGAATAACTGTCCAACTTTATTTTGCTCCAAACGACTCGTAACCAGCATATTTATGTATTTCTAAACATTTTCTTCAGGTTGGTAAGTATGGATTATGAGAAGTTCTTTTTACAAACCAATAAAAAATTATATGTGACGTTTCGATTACTAGTACGATATGTACACTGTCACCTTCATCAGACAAATGACCAATGAAGCGTATGCACACAAAGGTGTAAACATTTGTGTGCATACAAAAACATTTTACGCCTTTGTGTGCATACGCTTCATTGGTCATTTGTCTGATGAAGGTGACAGTGTACATATCGTACTAGTCATCGAAACGTCACATAGAAAATGTTATTGGTTGTGTAAAAAGAACTTCTGATAAAGCATATTTATGGGTTTTAACCTCACTTATCATTTTAAAAACTTGCCTGCATTTGCAAGAAAGCATGTCTTCTGTTTAGTTTCAATACCTGACCAATTACCTAGGGTATAACAGTAATTATCACCTCGCTTCTTAAGTCCTCAAACGTAAAACAATTGGGGCATCATTAGTTTAACTAGACGTAAACATTCCTTGTCGCAGTATAATACCAATCTCCCATGAGGGTCTTCATTGATGCACTTACCCAGAGCATGCTCTTGATTTTTCTGTTGGCAAATACGCTGCCAGTACCAGAAATGCTTCATTCGCAGTCGAATCACGATATTACTTTATTTCCATTATATGTAATGAATGCATCTCAGGTCGTCGGTGACCTCAATATTTTCCTGATTTTAACTGCAGAAATCCTGACGAGTGTAACATTTTTTTCCGCCTCCCCTTTTTAATTTGATGTGTGCCTTCCTGATAGTCGTTTTTTACGCGGTTGTCCAAATAGTTGACATTTTGTATCGACCTGTGGTTCAGATCGTTGTTATTCGTGTTGTAATATTCATTTTTTTGTTATTTAACTTTAAATTCTTGTCCAAATTGTTATATAAAAATGATTCATTGAACAAAAATGTTTGTATCAGTTTTAATGTAAGTGCATGTTTGCTATTTCAGATATTTGGATTACATACTAGATCCGTCGAAAATCAGAAAACAAGATGTCCCCCGTGCCTTCATAACACTCTACAGCAATCCTATAGCCTTCTATCCGGCTTTTGAGTTCATCTTGGGAAAATGGGAATTCCTGGTGGTTGAGTAAGTATACAGGTTTAAATTTCACTCTCTCTTTCCTTCAATGTTTGTGTGTTTTATTTTTTTCCAAAAGAAGTTAATAATGGAGTAAGGTACTCACAACGGATACCTACTATTTCAAATATTGCTGACAGTAACGATAAGGTATACGGTAAAAAGCCAATGTAATAATAGTGATTGGAATAAAAATCAGAACAGCGAGGGTGTGGAAAACTAATACATTCACATCAGGGATTCAGAAACCAATATAGTCTGAATCCCAACGAAATATTGATTCTTTCTTTCTCAAACTTCATAACTTAACCGAGGCATGTAATTCACTTGGACAATATGAACTCTTATCTTATGATGCTATTTTTAGCATAACTTCTTATGTTAATGAAATATAACAAGAGGAAAGAATCTCACTAAAATGTCGCTAATCTACGTGACAGCTTTATTACAGTGACAAACGCTTCTAAATTTAAAAAAAACCCATCAATTTGCAAACCGCATTTTTTTTATTATCTCCGTGGAAATAATTGCTTGAGTATAGAAATAACCATTATTTGTTAAAAGGGGAGGCAGGATAGTCTAGTGGTAGGACGTCAGGCTCATGACCGAAGGGTTGCAGGTTCGAGTCACGTCACTGTGTTGTATCTTTGAACAAGATACTTTTCTTCGCTTGTTCCAGTCTATTTAGCTTGGAATTGGTGTATGCTAACTGCGCCTAAATGGCGGCAGCGATGCATGGTCCCCACGGAGTTGAGAAAGTTAGCGGATGGTTGCAAAGGCCCAATAACCACGGATACTAATTTGTGAACCGCTTTGCGACGACCTATGATCTAGGTAGTGATAAGGCGGTATATAAGAACCTCGAATTATTCTTATTATTAAATGTTTCGTATAGAAGTTCAAATAGCGCACCCAAAAATGTTACATGTTTGGACGACTAGTACGATATGTAATCTGTTGACTTCAAATGGTCAAATTTGGCATAATTTAAACTCAAGATATATGGAACCAAATGTATCAAACCTTTATTATCAGTGCAGGATTACATGAAAACTGAAGATATAAACAAAACTAAATGTCAAAATTCTCTGAAATCAACATAACATTACTTATCAGATGATTGAAATCTTCAAAAAATGACAATGAAGTGGAATCAACTTTTTCATATAACTTTTAAAAAATACAACACCAAACGAGCTGACGTAATATACATGTACTAAGAACCGTGATGTTTGGCGCATTTGTTGTAATTCTTACGTCTGATTGGTTGAAGTTTAACGATAATGAAATTACAAGGTTTACAATTTTGTGATCTGTCAAATTTAATAATAATTTGTTACTGGAGTGAAGAAATATTTTTNGCGTTTACAATTTTGTGTTCTGTCAAATTTAATAATAATTTGTTACTGGAGTGAAGAAATATTTTTAAATATGCAATATTTGTGATGATGATGAAAACTACAAAATATAATTGTTTTTAATGAAAACATCTAATTGTCAAATGCAATTTATGCAAAATAGAGAGAGATACACACTAGCATCACTATTTATAAATGTGACAAGTGCGAAAAAAGAATAACAGTATAAATTTCTTCAATAACATTCATCAGTTTGGAAATATGTTTAATCAAAGTTCTACTTTATACACGAACAATGAACGCATCAAACGTGTCGCAACGTTTCAAGACCGACTGGTCCCTTTGTAACGTTATGACTGAGTAAGACCGACTGGTCCCTTTGTCACGTTATGACTGAGTAAGACCGACTGGTCCCTTTGTCACGTTACGACTGAGTAAGACCGACTGGTCNTTTAGTGCAAGACAATGACCCAGTTATAGTCATCTTACAGACAGCGTCAAACGATCTGTGTGGCCAGGAAAAATCGGTCGAGGTCATGTTTCGGCAGCTAGTGGAACTAGTTGTGACACTTCGTTACAAATATTTAGTGCGTCGTGTGATCGTCATGCANCGACTGGTCCCTTTGTCACGTTATGACTGAGTAAGACCGACTGGTCCATTTGTCACGTTATGACTGAGTATACGTAAGACCGACTGGTCCCTTTGTCACGTTATGACTGAGTAAGACCGACTGGTCCCTTTGTCACGTTATGANTGGTCCCTTTGTCATGTTATGACTGAGTAAGACCGACTGGTCCCTTTGTCACGTTATAACATTCTAAATAGTTAATTGTGATCAATTAAATCATTTATGACTGTATGGATACAGTAACCATTGACAACGGGTGAATATTTTAAGTTGCATCCCAATGTGTCGTTCGTGCTACATAGGCTCTTGTAGTAATAGTGTTGGATGAAAGGGTTGAACTTTAGGTCATTCACGCGTTGTTAAATGTTTTATAGATCAGGAATTGGTCAATATAATCATTGATAGAATGATGAACGAATATATGGAAGAATTTCGTTCCAACATATTAACTGAATAAATGAGAATACAGCCGAATTACGCAAGAACGACACAATTGCAATATATAAACCGTACTGGTATTCCCTGTTTGCATGTATACGTATATATACTTTCATTTGGATCATGAATATGTAAATTCATGAAAATATAATAAAATAAGAATGATTGAAAAGAATAAACTACATATTTGATGATTAAACAATAGGTCCATAGGTATTAATGGTTATCTGAGTTAAATACAATTATAACTTGTTATTGTAATGCGACAAAACATAACATACATAAAACTAAATATATTGTTTTGGTTGTGGACTTGCTTTTACAAACTTATGTTAGGGAACGACTAAAATTATTATATAGCTAGTAAATATCAGCAAACGTGATAAAATCATATATTAAAGTGATAAAGTAAAATTATAAAGATACACCCAAAATATAATTTCCCGTTTTAGACCAAACAAAAACATTACTCCCTGCCCATAATTTTGATACAGCACCTTAGGTCCTTTCGATCCACGAAAGGATTTGATTCTGCGCGAGAAGATTGCTGAAATTTCAGCCAATTTGACCACTTTTGGCCTCGCAACTCAGACTCCTGGGGGGTCAGCCCCATGGTGGGTATAAATTCGGATCCCAATCTTAGGTTAATGATAACCACCAAGCTTCATCAAAATTTGCTATACATTTTCATGAGAGTAGTCAAAATATTATTGTTTCAGTTATTGCACTTAGTGACCCCCTTTAAGCCCCTCCGAGGGATGCTCAGCTCTATTTTGAGTGGAAAGTTTTGAAGGTTTTGCAATGCGACCCCTTTTGAAAACGCCCCTCAGCCCCCTCCTCAATTGGAATGTTGTGAAACAATGTGCATTTAGGTTGTATTAACGACTGCATTTATGTAAAACAAAGTGCACGGTTTTGATATATCTGAATTTCTGAATTCCTTGCGAATAAAATGTCAGTGCTTAGCCTGAAAACCATTCACCACGATAGACCAACAATCAGCGACAGGAAAGATCAGTTTTCTATTAGCATGCCGTGACCAATTTTTTTTTTTAAACAATATATAGTTGTGTTCTTTTTTCTCAAACTGTCAAATCATCATAAACGCTAGTCAGGATAAATTGAATACATCAGGTGCACTACAAGGAATACAATTAGAAGTTTATAAAATGTGAAGTTCCATTATGCATAGAGACATAAAATTACAGTTATTTGAGCTCAGTAGTTCTTTCACAGCTTGTCAATTTTTTCAATCGAAAAGTGTCTGATTTTGTTTCAGTTTAATATAACATTTCCATAATAAAGGATGTGGATTGAGCAAAATTATTTAAAAAAATTATCGAGGCCGTTTTCCTAACAAACAATGGTATCTTATTAGGTAAAGTTTATCGGTAAGTGTCGACCACGTGCAAGGCATTTGTCTGTATGGTTCAGTTGCGTCTGGGGTCGATCGGTACTTTGGATCATACGCAATGGTGCGGCGAATGTCACTCAGCATACACTCGACGTCATCTGATGCAAACTTCTTCTGGAAGTGCTTTATGGTAACTTCAATCAGAAATGATCCATCGGAAGATTTCGCAAATGCTTTGCAGCCTGAAATGACACAAAAGTCATTAACAACTTATGCACTTGCTGGACAGGGAAAGACAAAACCCAAGCTGCTACCAGATTCGGGCCCAGCCCTGAGACCTAGTCTCTGGTCTTATCATGGAAACGTTTGGGATCCCACCGTATAACCACGTAAATGTGTGTTTGGCATGAAAAGACGAATTCACATATGCTACCAGGATGCCGCTAGTCATCCATGATTGTTTCATTGAAACGGCCGAAATCTGTACCCTTCAACCATCTATTCAATTACTGAACATAACGGTTTGACACATACAGATCCAGCCTCAAGCCTGCGAACTACTTAGTCATAACATATATATGGTTGTGGTTCGACCCTATAACCATAGGTTATTGAGTGATAGACCATGCGCGTGTGTGTATTATTTTCCAACAAACCATTCACGTGATGTCGATTAATGGTGGATTTGATTGCTTGAAATAAACATCTGTTATAAAGCATGACATCAGTACAGGTGTTAATTGTTGTCGTCTGCCGACCAAATGGCGACCGAAAAGGAACAATCATTTCCAAATGTATCGAGGTTACAGAAACAAATTGTCGGCAATGATAAAACGCAGCTTGTGGTGAAATGAAGACATATAGGCTTCACGTGACAAATATAAGCGTGCTCATCATAGACGTGTTCACACTGAGGTAGACGTGAAAAAGACGAAAAAGAATTGTATTATATTTTACTTCGTAGAATAGATGTAATCAACATATGATTGTATATTATTGTGGAATCATAGTTCGGGATTCGCAAACGATGGAAATAAATCAAATCAGGCTGCAAGCGACCTTTGTTAATGATTTTTCCCCAAACATGTTCTCATCCCGTTACTTCATCCATCATAATATGTGCACATTCGTTGATAATTTCTTAAAAAGCCGAGCGTGAAAATACAAATGCACTCACGATTTGTATTGAGGTACTCGGGCCTTTGATCACAACATAGAAAACGATTCCGACCACCACAATATAATAAAAAAAATATGCTTGCGTGACATGAGGTGATGAACAATATCATGCTACCAAGATAAGTGCGGGGTTCTTGCCTCGCCTATGGAGTCCTTTTACGGGTATGTTTGTAGTCTTTCGGAACCAAACCCCAACAGTTCTATTGCTAAAGATAGTTTAGGAACATGAAATAAACTTACCTGGTGTCGTTGCCCATATCACTAAGATATCAGAATCATCTAAGATGGGGCACTTGTCATGTATATGGTCACTGTGTATGTCATTCTGTAGTTCCTTTCCCTTGCAACTTTGCATTAGGAACACTTTCGGTCTACCTATTACAATAGAGATTCATAAACGTATAGCAACCTAAGCGACAAATTATCAAAGATAAAACACATTCCTTGAAACACATTTTAACTAATATTGTGTTGACTAATACTAATTTACTGCATACTAACACCACTTCTCTGTTCTAACATCTTACTTAATCTTGAAAGATGAACGTGAGACACGCACACACTATTAGACATTTGTCATTTTGAGGTAGACCTACCACAGAGCCAGAGACGGACACTGAAAGTAGTAAAATCAGGGAACATCTCAAAAATATTATTTTAGTGCTCCTTACCTGCAGTAACATCCCCTGATTTTCATTACATGTACAACTGATAAACTTCTCTTGGCTGATCTCAATGAATGGGTGACGAAAATGTGTGGAACAAGTACCTTCAGCTTATCGTTATTATAAAAAAGACACCGTGTAAGCGTTAAACATTTCTTTCGTAATATGGAAATATCGTGTCACCGGAAGTTTGTGGATGGTAAATTTAATCTGCAAATGTGATCACTGTCACTCTGGTAAAAAAAACTTCCAATTGATTATTTTGGCTCGGCGAATTTCTTTTAACTCAATCGGCGTAAAAAGAAAAAAAAACAGACGTCCCGGGTGAGATCCTTAACGGAGATATTAAAATATCAATTACCACGGTCACATACCTGCCGCATTGTGCCACGAAAAAGACTATAACGAATGTGGTTACCGGTTACATAATTTCTTACCTGTTTACTTACACACTCTGACATACCCTATACACTACGTTCCATATAAAATTATTTTTGAAATGACCCCTGTATTTGCTTGTCTGGGTCTCTACGCTAGGTTTTCCCAAAAATGAGAAAGGTCTATTACAACGATAAACGTTAGCAATACATACAGTATGCCAATAATCAATTATACTGCACCCTCCTGGGACTCATTGGTGAGGCCAGAGAGCAAAAAGGTGGAAATTCAACTTGGTTTAAACAACAGTTGAAGTCATATATGCCTTCTGTGTCAGAAATGATGCGCCCTCGTTATCATCTCGTCTTGTTATTACCTTGCCCTCCTGTTTTTAATACCAGCCCAGAATGAATTTTAAAACATAATCTGTAAAAAATGTGTTGGTAGCACTTAACTTGACAAAGAAATAATTGTCTTGAACTTTTGACATTGTTTTCATAAATAAAAACTTATTCTGAATTATATAATAGAATCATGATTAATAGCTATGGACTTCCTGTAAATATCAATAATTCCAATACAATCGATTCATATTAACTAAATGATATTTTGTTTTGAAGTGACATATTAAGTTTTTTTAAATAATCATATAACTATTTCTTCTTACCTGCAAATTCGGGTAATTTCTTGTTTGTGAAAGCGCTAAATACATCAGCGTATTTAAATTTGGTTCCACCCTTGGTTATGAAATACTCCTGAAAAAAACGAACATCTTTATCGTAATTAGGGCCCCAGAAATTCAAAATTCATTTTATCATTGCGATAAACGACATACTTTTCTGCTGAATTAAACAATAAGAACCAATGCATCATAAGCTGGTAATTGAAAGAGGGCCATACCCGAGACATCTGGAACAGATTATTAATTTATTTCTGATAAATTGTACAGCCTTTTTCGTCCTATTGAAATTACCTCCTCGCCGTGACTCATCACTGCAACAAACAGACAATAATATTTGCATGATCCATTGTTGTACTTGTCTTTCTTCAGAGTGGTCCTTGCTTGTTCGAGATACTTTTGAACTTCAGCTACGGTGCAATCTTCGTGGTCCTTTACATACCATCCCAGTTCGTTTTTGAAAAAATCTGTGAGATGTTTTTTGTCGACAGGAGCATCTGCGTATTATAATAGTGTTGTTTTTTGTCTTTAAGTCATGACGATTAGAATAATTAAATTTATTTTCTTTTAATTTCACTCGTTGAAGGTTGAAATAAAAAAGATATATTAACATAGAATGACTCATTGTTTTTAAAGGATATGAAACAGGTACATAATGTAGATATAAAATTGCAATATACAGAAAACATTTCTGTCCATATCTTGTCCATATATGTTCATTAAACAATGACAAAGATGGCATTTTCTATATTAAAAATGACTACGAATTTGAATGAGTCTTTACAAGTACATTGATCAAATCACCAAAAAAAATAATAAAACATATACATTTTGCAATGAATGTTTTATTAATATTGTTTTCAATTGCTAGAACGATATCTTTCACGAATTAAGTATTAGTTACGTTTTCTTTCCGAATTTTCGCCTTTGAAAGTGAAGTTGAATATGACCATCAATCCTTTTTTTCCACGAGCCTCGCGCTTGGTATCTGAAATTTAAACCCGTTATATCACGTGACTATAAATCGATTTTTATTTTTATTTCATTTCCGCTCTTATTACGTATATACGATTAATGTTCAAGGTTGTATATGCGGTTAAAAACACATGTGTCTCAAGTGTAAATGAATTGACTATGCCATCATTCATTTCTATCAAAACAACTTTTTAAAACAACTATTAACCTCCTCTTTGTGACCTTCAGATCAAGCACACGGTGTGTAACATGACCAAGAAAGGTTATCCTGCTGCCAGTATAGTCTAGTGCTACCTTCAGTATTGAACTTGTGATCGTCAATAAATCCTTAAGTGTACATATTCAAAACATTATACATATACATTTATCATATAAACTACTTTTTAAACAGCATGGTTTTACTTACTTCATAGCAGGAATTCCCCTTGCTCCCAGTGTATACAATGAACAGTTAAAAACACCGTCTAATCCGTGTGATTTATGTTTAAACCCTTGGAATGTGACCCTACTTCCATATCTCCCTCCTCCCTCAGTGTTTATTTTGTGAAAGTTAAATGAGTAAACTGCCATGCATGAATTGACAAAGTGTCATGACAGTTTACACTTTTTACAAAATGTGTAAAATGCCCACTTATAATTTGACAAACTGTCAGACAGAACACTTTTTACTAATATGAGTGTTCTGTCGGCCGCTATCGTCCATCGTACATCTATACACTTTTGAAACTGAAGTTTACATTTACGCTTTTTTGGTAATTTGTCTGATGAATGTGACAGAAAATATCTCGTCATCGAAATATCAGATTGTTTGTTTATTGAGGCTTATCAGCCCCTTGACACATACATTTCTCAACTAAAATGTCAGATAACATGCATATAGTTATTAGTGTACACCACTCAATTTTCTATCAGTTTCAATTTCTCAATGTGCGAAAGCTACAACCGAATATATATAACCAAATTCTAGTTCTTACATGACCTAGGATATTTGTCGCTGGAAGGACCACCTGAAGGACCAACTACAATACAATACAATAGTACAATGTTAGTTACATAGTGTCACAAGGATGAATCCTAAACTTTAAACTTCACTATGCAAACGGGGGCATGTGTATAAATTACTTGCGTTTGATTTTCACTCCTCATCATATATATTTTCGCTGATTTTCGTTGTCAAACATAACATTTTCTGATATTAACTAAAAAGACTATATAAATACTGTAGTTCTTCTCCAACATAATAAGAGAACTCATAAATATAGCGTGACCGATTGAAAACGTTCAATTTCAATTTTCCTTCAGCAATTGGTTTGATTTGATAAGGATAAGCCTCTTTTTAACAGTTTTTTTCCTCTAAATATGTGCCTTCATATGTGTAATGCGTGTGTGTAAGTGTGCTGGAGGCGGTATGTAGGTGTGAATGCCTCCTTACGATAGCGTGGATCTGATTCATACTTAATAGTGTTCTATTTTAATGCTATCAGTGAAATACCATGCTGACGGCACCCAGCATAGTAATCCACCCGGTCACATTATACCTAGGACATGCGGAGATTAATTTCACTTTTACCCGCCGCTGTGGAGAGACGTACCAGACTCAAATATCCAAATGAATGTTGTCATGCATCATCAATACTGCACGGGGTACGCTCACTTACGCTCTCTGCACTCCTAGGATATGTCGTAATATAATTGAAGGCACGAAGTTAGCTATTGGATTGGTCTGTGGTAAAAATAAACCTGACCAATTGCTAGGCTGATACCTGTCCTTTGAAGATTACAAAGGAGTCACATCCTATTTCAAAGCTAGTAAAGTTTACTTTATGTTCGATTCTATTTTATAGCATCACATGATAAATGTACTTTAGGTTATATGCCAATTCGGTGATATTATAACTGCGCTGGACACGTTATAAACATTTTAAATGATAGGTATGATAATGTTTATAACATGTCTCTATTGTATATATCAACACTTAATGTTAAGAAAGTTCACGTTATGAACAGAGGTCCTTCGTTTAACATATGCATGTCGATAAACCGTGCTTCCGGGGCATCAACTTTTATTTGTGTACATTCCCTAAGCGACAGCCATCATGGTTTGCGGCTAGTACGCCTCTCCACTAATAGTAAAATAGAATTATACTCCAATTGACCTAGGTATATAAGTGAACTTTGGATAATATTTTAATTCGTAACCTTAAGTTTGGTCGTTAATGAATCTGAAAAATCCAGTGAATGGTATTTGTCCCGAGAACATTAGCCTATCATGTTGTTAACGACGTATTGTTCCATAATGATAGCTAATGTATAAATTCAACATATTCAAATTAAATATCTACATTTCGATTTGTACTTGATGTCTCTAAACATGACTTATCAGGAGGTAGAAATTCTGGATGACTAGAGCATCTTGTAGGCGATGGGTTGAACCTTATATGACTTGGAAATGTCCCAGCCTGTAGACAAAACCCATGGTCTTTACCAATTTGAAATTAATTTCGCCCCTCCCAGAGAATTCGTGTTAGGATGACGGATGACAAAAATCATAGCAAGAACTACCGTTTTGTGGTGTGACTTCAGGAGATAAATGTTCCCTATCGCTCTGCATTGTCGTCTCCGTCTTGTCATCAGACGTCAACTGATTNTAATAAGTCCTTATAAAAGAAATATTTTACATAAATGAAACGTTGAGATGATTTCTATATAATCAGAGTTGTTCTTGATATCGATCTTCGAATAGTACTTGTGTCGGGCAAGGGACGGTATAACATGTCCAGTACAGCAACAACCAATTGGATTACCCTTTCTTAAACAGCCCAAATAGACCAGAGAGTAATTATCTATTTTCATATGATTGAAAGCCAATTTTATCCGTACAAAGCTAATGTCGATAGCCGCGATGTGCCAATATTGCTCCAAAGCTAGCGAAATTGAATTTATTGTAGTTTGGTTGGCAAATGACAAACCAGGACAGACCTAACTGAAGGAATACTGCATCCAGAGAGAGCTCAGCTCGTGTGATGGATGGGGGTATGCCAAGCAAGCGTTCTAACGACGACTTGATGGCGTATGTAAATACCCCTGGAAACAAATAGATACATTTCCTGGGAAGACTGGATGATTTGGTAGCACGATCCACGAGACACAGAGCCACGTTTATGTCCATGAAAACACGAGTTACACAACATTTTCTTATTTTTTCTTACATGACATAGGAAAGCTGGAAGGACCATCTGCAGTTACTAAAAATACAATAAAATAGTACAATGTTAATACATTTGTCACAAGGATGAATCCTTAACTTTAAACTTCGCTATGCAAACAGGGGCATATGTATAAGTTACTTGCATTTTATGTTTGATTTTCACTCCTCATCATATATTTTTTTCTCTGATTTTTGTTCTCAAAGATAACATTTTCTGATATTAACTAAAAAGACTAAAACATACTAGAGTTCTTCTCCAAAATTTGAAAACTCATAAATATAGCGTTACCGATGGAAAACGTTCAATTTCAATTTTCCTTCGGCAATTGGTTTGATTTGATAAGGATAAGCCTCTTTTTAACAGCTTATGTCCTCTCTAAAGATGTGCCTTCATATGTGTAATGCGTGTGTGTAAGTGTGCTGGAGGCGGTATGTAGGTGTGAATGCCTCCTTACGATAGCATGGATCTGATTCATACTTAATAGTGTTCTATTTTAATGCTATCAATGAAATACCATGCTGACGGCACCCAGCATAGTAATCCACCCGGTCACATTATACCTAGGACATGCGGAGATTAATTTCACTTTTACCCGCCGCTGTGGAGAGACGTACCAGACTCAAATATCCAAATGAATGTTGTCATGCATCATCGATACTGCACGGGGTACGCTCACTTACGCTCTCTGCACTCCTAGGATATGTCGTAATATAATTGAAGGCACGAAGTTAGCTATTTGATTGGTCTGTGGTAAAAATAAACCTGACCAATTGCTAGGCTGATACCTGTCCTTTGAAGATTACAAAGGAGTCACATCCTATTTCAAAGCTAGTAAAGTTTACTTTATGTTCGATTCTATTTTATAGCATCACATGATAAATGTACTTTAGGTTATATGCCAATTCGGTGATATTATAACTGCGCTGGACACGTTATAAACATTTTAAATGATAGGTATGATAATGTTTATAACATGTCTCTATTGTATATATCAACACTTAATGTTAAGAAAGTTCACGTTATGAAAAGAGGTCCTTCGTTTAACATATGCATATCGATAAACCGTGCTTCCGGGGCATCAACTTTTATTTGTGTACATTCCCTAAGCGACAGCCATCATGGTTTGCGGCTAGTACGCCTCTCCACTAATAGTAAAATAGAATTATACTCCAATTGACCTAGGTATATAAGTGAACTTTGGATAATATTTTAATTCGTAACCTTAAGTTTGGTCGTTAATGAATCTGAAAAATCCAGTGAATGGTATTTGTCCCGAGAACATTAGCCTATCATGTTGTTAACGACGTATTGTTCCATAATGATAGCTAATGTATAAATTCAACATATTCAAATTAAATATCTACATTTCGATTTGTACTTGATGTCTCTAAACATGACTTATCAGGAGGTAGAAATTCTGGATGACTAGAGCATCTTGTAGGCGATGGGTTGAACCTTATATGACTTGGAAATGTCCCAGCCTGTAGACAAAACCCATGGTCTTTACCAATTTGAAATTAATTTCGCCCCTCCCAGAGAATTCGTGTTAGGATGACGGATGACAAAAATCATAGCAAGAACTACCGTTTTGTGGTGTGACTTCAGGAGATAAATGTTCCCTATCGCTCTGCATTGTCGTCTCCGTCTTGTCATCAGACGTCAACTGATTACTCGGCGCTAAATAAGAAAAAAACAGTGTGAAACCACCAAAACAATATCAGTACCTAATTTTGACACGTAAAAACATGAATCAAGAACTAAATGTTAAGGGTACCGTTAAGTTAAAATATATTTTTAATATTGTAAATATATGTAAAATAAGTCCTTATAAAAGAAATATTTCACATGAATGAAACGTTGAGATGATTTCTATATAATCAGAGTTGTTCTTGATATCGATCTTCGAAAATAAATATATTTATTTTCAAATCAAGAACAACTATAATCCAACTAGGCATCAACCTTTAAGCTTCCTATCCCATACTTTATCATGTCGCTAGCCAGATATTACTTTTATTTTGCATCCGGAATGATAAATGCACACTGGCAAAAACCTTTATATAAAATCCAACATATACCATTAATAAGTCAACGTTTTTGTCAGCTTCCTGACGGTTGTTATAGACATTATCTGCCATTTATCACAGCATTTGACACGTCGAACTTAAATGTGATTTAGATAAATATATAAGATGATTACTGCAACTTATTGAACATTTAACATTGCTACATACTTGACAAAAAAATACGAAAGGAAACTACCTTCTGATTTCTTTACGCTTTGCATAGGTGTCCCAGTGTTGTCAGCAGGCTTCAACTGATTTCCCGCCGCTAAATAAGAACAAATAATATATTGTGAAAACACAAAAAAAAAACTATAACAGTACCTAATGTTGAACTCTAAGGTACCGTTCAGTTGAAATATATTATTAACATTGTAACTTTAGGAAAACTATGTTCAATCCTTATAACTGAAATATTCGATAAATAGTCCATATGTTATTACATATCACATATTAAATGAATTTTAAGTGATCAGATTTGTTTGTAATTCAAATGTATGAAAATATATAGACATGGATGTTTAAATATTCCAATTGTGAACAACTATTTAATGCATGGGTCAAACTTGTTTCCTTAACGCTGCCAATTATACTCTTAACCAATGTCGCTAACAAGGAATTATTTCTTTACAATAAGTATCATGAATCATAAATGCACACTGGCAACAAAACTAAATATATAAGCGAATATATATAAAACAAAACACGAAGAATAAATTTCGTTTAAATGTCCATGCGACGATTAATATATACATGTATAAAGCAAACATACGAAGACTAAATTTCGCTTAAACGTCCATGTGACGTTAAATGCGAAATTTAGTCTTCGTGTTTTGTTTTCTATATGTTTTACCGTCACATGGACATTTAGGCAAAATTTATTCTTCATGTTTTGTTATATACATATATTTATATATATATTACCGTCACATGTACGTTTAAAACTTTTTACCGCTAAAATCGAATATATAGGTTAAGAAGCTTACTGTTCCTTACTTTGTGACGGTTGTATCTGCGACTTATCATAACACTTGACACATCGATTTGAGATATGATTTGAGTATATTTGTAGTGAATTAATAGGTACAGTGGTCCAAACATTGTCATGAGTAATTGTCACTAGTATACTGCATCACCCATTATCAGCTTACCTTTCTGCACATTAAACTGTATTACGTACATGATAATTTCTTGCAATCCAAGTTGCAGGATTCCATACACATGACCAGTTCACAAAAAGTCATGTGGGCCAGTTTTACGGTGAATATCAAGTTCGAAAAATAGCCTTAAGGCAATCCTCATTAATAAACGATAAATATATTATTTGAAAAGCTTATTTTATTTTTGGTAATCGTTTCACATCAAAATTATGTTGCATTCGTCAGCATGCATTGTATTTGTTAAGCTGAGATGTATGATTTGAAACCATCCAAACTACCAAGTGAAAAAGCTACAGTATTTTTAATGAATTCATTGTTGAAGCATATATGTTATAAAAGAGTTATGGACTTTTAGGTGGTAAATGTGATGTGAGGTACACCTGGAAAAGTGATATTGATCCTCGTTTCTCGGTATTGCTTCATTCAATAACACTTTTAAGGCTCATGTCAAATCATATTCAGCATCAAAAAGTCCATAATTGTGTATTACCTTACCCATGGAATTTTCAGTCATGTGTATAGAATAAGTTAAGAGTACAAGAACGTAAATCATATATATTACCATTTTTCATTTCTGCAATAGCATCTTGGCAGTTTTGCATTATCTTCACAAGGACATTGAATTGCTCCTTTCCATTTGATTGCAGTAGCTTTATCACTTTTCCATATTTACCTACTTTAATTGTTTCATAGTCAACCAATTTTTCAAATAATTTTTGCATGCTAGTAATGGCGTTGATTTCCGTTTTTGATAACGGATTATTATTGAAGAGGTCAAGCAGTTCAGTCCATCCATCTATTCCTGGAGCGATCGATCGGCTTAAATCTAATACCATGTTATTGTGAAGGGTTTGTTCTGTGTCCATTGTATATTATGGCTACCTAAAAGACAGAAGTAGCATCTAAATGAGTTAATAAATTCTGACTCTAAGCCTCATTACAAAAAAGTATACTCATTAAACTCAGTTCATTGAAACTTCTGTAACAGCAATCTGATTGAAATACAGCTCCTCATTATACTATCGTTCTACTATCGTATGAGGATCTGACAGCGACCCGTAGTGGGTCATGTGCAGATGACCTATGTATTAACCAATACAATTATAGCTTACCAGATTCTGAAAGCATAAGGACATCCTTTGTTTATTATGGGATGTATAAATAATTTGTTTTATCAATTATTGAGCAATTACATGTACCTTCAATCAGCTTAGAAACAATTGAGTGACAACTCAAATGTTTACCTAACTCGAGCTAGTTCATTCTAATATCATAGAGCGAGTTTACTGTGTGCCATTTAAAATTTGAAACTTATCTAATGAGAGATAAGCATGATAACCCCCACTTACCAGTTTGGAGTACTTTTCTCTGATAACGGTATATTATATTTACAAACTCATATAAATCCNGTCGTATGAGGATCTGACAGCGACCCGTAGTGGGTCATCTGCAGATGACCTTTGTATTAACCAATAAAATTATAGCTTACCAGATTCGGAAAGCATAAGGACATCCTTTGTTTATTATGGGATGTATAAATAATTTGTTTTATCAATTATTGAGCAATTACATTACCTTCAATCAGCTTAGAAACAATTGAGTGACAACTCAAATGTTTACCTAACTCGAGCTAGTTCATTTTAATATCATAGAGCGAGTTTACTGTGTGCCATTTACAATTTGAAACTTATCTAATGAGAGATACACATGATAACCACCCATTACCAGTTTGGAGTACTTTTCTCTGATAACGGTGTTTTATATTTACAAACTCATATCAATCCCTTAAAATTATATTTTATATTTGGAAAGCCATTTCCATTAATCATACTCTCATAATGGAAGATAACGGCGGAAAACATTGTTCGGTGTACGTGGCGTTTTAATTATTGATTGGCCGATGAAAGCACGTCAGGATACTAAAAACATTTACCACCCATGTAGGTTTATCCAAAGAACCAGGAGTGAGTTAATTTAGATTGTTGGAGTAAATGGGTAATATATATACACTATACACATCTGCAAACGACAGGGGATTCAAGTTTGTGTTGAACACCTCATTCGAATTAAACGATGTAGCGTCCATAACATGTCATGTTAGGGCATGAACAGGAGGTAATGTATGTCTCGTATACGTATGTCAGGTAAGCGAAAAATACCTTATTTATACGAAGCTATACGGGTCTTCTCCAGCTTATCTGTATTGCTCCCACTACATGTATCTCCGTCACAAATCTCGTTTATTGAAGTTCAAAATATATCGATAGCAGTGACTGAAGTCAGCGGACTAGACCTCTAACACGCGACAGGATATGGGATAAGGGGGTGTTCTCAGTTCCCCCACATTTTATAGAACAAAGAAAATGTTGATATGAGAAGACAATGGCAAACCAATTATAGTCTGTTTCATACTTACTGCACAGGTAACTGTGTAAAAGTTACCCGTCTGACTTGTTAGGTTAATTTTGGATATATATTTTTTAAGTTTTAATATTTTTTTGGGGTGTATGAAATTGATAAAATTAAATAATAAACACTTATTCCCTCAAAGTGGCTACTGCATATTGTTTATCATATACACATGGTGCAATCATTACATACATGATGTACAATACAGATATAACAATAAACGGCTTAATATAAGTTTAATAACTTGTGCCCAATTCATTTGCATGACAATAAAATATGTTTAAACTAAACTATAACAATAACTAAATAGTAAGAGTTTACAGTCAAATACGTATACATAACATTTCATTTACATTACACTTTTTAAGCCACCAAATACAAGACAAGCTAAATTATATACTTAAGGTAATAGGATTGAGTCACCATTTCTCAGTAGAATTTCTTCAAATTTTGTAGTTATATTGCTTTGAAGTAAAGATATGTTTCTGCCACCAAAAAAAATATAGGTTGTCAAGAGTTTAAGGATTTTAAATGGAAATTTATGTAAAAATGGGTGAATTTGGAGAAAAAAAATGAAAGACACAATTTTTTGCAAAATAATGTCAATAAAAATGATACTGACATAGATTAGTATTGCATTAATGTATAATTTAAAGTTAGTTATCTATAAACGATTAAAAGTTGCCTTTTTATAATAAAACCATATGCACATAGTAATTGCATGTAAGAGTAATCTTTCTTGAAAAACTTCACAGTAGTGAAATAGGTAGCCGGTTTCCTGAGGAACAGAAAAATGGACACATGTGACTCATTGATAAAAGACAACTGAATTAATCCCTGGGTTGCTTTGAAATACTTTAATATTGAGAGAACACACTGGTCTGTCTATAATAAACATACAATATTCATCAGTTTAATATTAAACAATAGAATATGCAGAAATTGTGATACTGTCTCCCTACATTGGATTTTCAACTAGAAATGTACTATCAATACACTCATATGACATTAAAGACATTAAGTCGGCATTTATGAATACAGGAAACAATATTAATTAATGAGTAAATAATTTCTAGCAGCGAAAATGCTGAGATATTAGGTATTGTTAGTATAATTATGTAAATATAGCCATATTCATTATATCTATGAAAGTGATGGGGTTTCCCAGACTTAAAATCCTCTTTGGCTGTCTGAGAAAGTTCTCAAAATAATGAAAAACATTGTTAAACAAGTTTCTCAAAACTGAGACAAGAGTTTCTTGGATTAAAACAGATTGTATTTCCATATTAGTGTATGTCCGATGCAGCCGAATGTGTAAAGCAGTTTACTTTTGACCAGAAGAAGTGAACTGTACAAGTTCGAATCCACGTTCAGATTACCTTTTTTTAATATTGAGGAATGTTTTCCTAAATTAAATAATGAAATATTTTTCAAATCAATGGATAATTTTATTGATATTTAATAACATACATATTTATATATCTTCTAAGGAATTATGTCATACAATTCCTGTGCACATGTACAGTACAGCTACCGTTTGTAGATCAGACATAATTTTAAAAGATATTTATGAATTGTTTCACCCTCCAATTCACACTAATAATTTTATTTATTATTTCAACACAAACAATGATGCCGATATACAAAATATGTGGGATCGTTGCATCATAGTAAAAAAGGCCAAGCAAAAAAAGGAAGAAGTGTTATTATCGCAAATATACACCATAGTCCGACAGTCAAGTGTCACACATTTTTGTTGTAAATTATTCCAGATGTAAGAGATGTGATGCTGCGTTCGCGTAATCCATAAAGTCCACCTTCTGGTTCTCAAGGTGTGCTTAGATAATGGTAAAACTCATCGTTATCTCACTAATTAGCATAGGCCTAAAAAAAATCATTTTATAATTATTCATATTATTATTTAATTATTAGTACAAAATAAAATAACACATTTTTTCTTATCATATGTCATACCAGCAGCACAAGGACTACAGAATGGATATACTCAATATATATATTAATTTATATATAATAAATATTGAAATATTTCAAAGGTAGGGTCAACGCCTATGGAGATTTAATAATAGCGTCGGCCCCGCTTGGAATTTTAAAACAAGATGGCTTCAAAAAGGTATGGGTATAGGAAGCTTAAATCAGGAACAGTTAGTTTCAGAATTCATTTTATGATAAATCGGACCTCATTGACATATAGGTGCGGTAATACAATTCCTCCTAAAGCATTTAAATGAAACAATTACTATAACATTATATCATCATCGTGTGTAACATATTCCAACTGTTATTTTGATACCGAATATTACACTATTTCAAGAAAGAATTGTTCTTTTTATTGAAGATTTAAGCAGAAAGTATGTGAAATTTCATTAGTAATGAGAAAATTTCTATTTTTGACACGTTAGTTTACATAGTTCTAAAACGAGCTTATTTCTCATACATGCTAAAAGTTGGCTACCAATAATATCTTTTAACATCAGGAATATAAAAAAAAAAATGACAACCGGTGAATTTGTCATATAACACTTTTGATTAAAAAAAAGAAAAACACAGCTTTCTTTCCACTTTTCCTTTAACTTGTGTTTCTTCATGACCAAAAGGTCCTTAGATGGAAAGTTTTGAAAGAAGTTCAGAATAGAGGTAGCAGTGTACAGTGGAAAAAAGATATGAAATAGTGTAATTAGAATGAAAACAGATATTTTTACCATTTTTCAATAAATACAACTTTATGTATTAGTTACCATGGATACCGG